TTTTTTCATCATTCTCAGTTACTATTCGAAATTAATCGAAACATGGGTTGCCGCCCTTCAACACCTGAGTCCGTTGTGGTAACGCCGCCTGATCCACCGGAAATTGAGGAGCCAAAAGATGAGTTGCCGCAGAAAATTCGCAGCTATCGCCCGTCAATAGACAGCCTGCAACCTCCTCACCCTCAGGACGACCTAAGTTCTGAAGGTATGAGGTAAGATTTATAAGAATAAATTGCTACAAATAATTTACCTAAAAGTTTGGATTGAACTCTAAACCCACTTATAAATGTGTATCACAAAGTTTCCGTATTTTCTCTTGTATTTAACCATCTTCTATTATGATGAAAGTTTGTTTGTATATAAAAGGAATCAAATGGCTGTAAATCCTAATTACGCTCAAAAAGAAGGTCTGTTGCACGTACTTACTCTTTGAAATAAATACCAAAAAGAAGCGCGATTTTTGAAATCTCGTGCTTATAAGCAGATATATCATAGGACGTCCTTCTTAAGAAAAATTATCATTAAAAACCCATTTTAACAACTCAACATTCTTTGTGTTCTTTGTTAAAATGTGTTTTGCGGTTTGTTCTAAACCCTATCTAATTTCCGTAATCGTTTAGCTGCTTTCATCTATCCTGTGTTCCAACCGTTAAACGTTCTCATTTTCCTTTTCACTGTTAAAAACTGACCCCTTGTGTTTTCAATTTTCAGTACCTATTAATTACGTCCAAAAGGTTATTCATGCAAAACTGCATAAATAATCTTTAGGACGTAATTAATAGGAGTCACAAATTGCTATTCTCAACTTTTTTGGTGGTTACTAATCATTATAAAAAAGTTAAGCGTCATAGGCTACCCAATAGGGGCACGGTAGTAGAGAGGTTATTTTAAGAGCAAAAAAAAAAAACATTATTCAAAAGGTGTGAGATGCAATTAACAAAAAACTCGACATACGTAGTGCAAAAGTCTCGAAATTATTTATAGGTCCTGTCTACGTTAGAAGGCCTTTGAAAACATTTTTTTGCGGTTGCATACTCAAACGTCTGGCATGGAGGTTTGACGTATTCGCTGAGGCGCTTACGGTGAGGGGGAAAGTGAGTCAAAGTGGCTATTCAAGACTTTATACTGCCAAATGGGGTTTGAGCCAAAAGCTCCCCATTTCCCTTCCATACTTGCGCAACTTTGTTTAGAAGAAGCTATATGCCCTTGC